CTGTGTGTGATTACAGTTTAATTTACAGAACAGGAGAGCTCCTTAATGGCAGTGCATTGAGCAGTGAGACTGCAGGGACAGGAGTTAGACACTAAACTGCTTTATTAAAGGGACACTATAGTCACCTGAACAACTTTAGCTTAATGAAGCAGTTTTGGTGTATAGAACATGCCCCTGCAGCATCACTGCTCAATCCTCTGCCATTTAGGTGTTAAATCCCTTTGTTTATGAACCCTAGTCACACCTCCCTGCATGTGACTTGCACAGCCTTCCATAAACACTTCCTGTAAAGAGAGCCCTATTTAGGCTTTCTTTATTGCAAGTTCTGTTTAATTAAGATTTTCTTATCCCCTGCTATGTTAATAGCTTGCTATACCCTGCAAGAGCCTCCTGTATGTGATTAAAGTTTAATTTAGAGATTGAGATACAATTATTTAAGGTAAATTACATCTGTTTGAAAGTGAAACCAGTTTTTTTTGTCATGCAGGCTCTGTCAATCATAGCCAGGGGAGGTGTGGCTAGGGCTGCATAAACAGAAACAAAGTGATTTAACTCCTAAATGACAGTGAATTGAGCAGTGAAATTGCAGGGGAATTATATATACACTAAAAGGGCTTTATTTAGCTAAAGTAATTTAGTTGACTATAGTGTTCCTTTAAGCTAAAGCGGTTTTGTTGCTTAGACTCTCTCTTTAAATTTGAAATGCCCTTTGAATTCTCACTTTAGTAAATAAAACCTTAAAAGGAACTCCATGAATATTAAAGAATAGGGAGAGAATCACTATTTAGTAGATATAACTCCTATCTAAAACACGTATGAATTTTTGCTGCATGGTGTCATTGGGGTATAAGTAATAAGAATTTGCAAAAGCTGCAGTTCTTATGTCTGCAGCCTTTGCAAGCCCTCTCTTCTTCCCCAGGAAGATAATTCAATCTCAGTGCAGGGAAATAACCAGAGGCTTTTCACTGAGAAGCAAGTGAACAAGTCATCCCATGCTTGAGCGCGTTTGCCCATGTCTTGCACTCGCAGTGCAATAGCCTTCAGGAAGAATACTGGCCTGATATAAGATCCAAAATGAGAAAAGGGCAAGAAGACAGATGCTCTCAATTAGAGCGTGCCAGCCATTTCTGTTAGCTCAGGGGAGCCAACAGAAGAAAGAAGCAAACCTCCTTGGTTGTCTGACAGCCATGGAGGTGTTTTATAATTTCATCATAATAGTGCTGATTAAAGAAAATGTTATTAAAATATGATACTCCTCATTCATAAGACACTCCAGTAAGCTTTATGGGTGTGGAATGGTCCTTCAAGTGAGAGGTTGAATAAGTGAATTCAAGTAAAACTGCCACTGAATCGCAAAAACATTGGCTAAAATTATTATTTATCTGTTAATTTTTAAAGGCCATTTTTCCTGCTTGGTTATTTTGGTTGTAATCAGAGATTCCGCTCTTAAAGGGACACTATAGTCACCAGTGCAACTACATGTATTCCTGACCCTATAGTGTTAACACCACCATCTAGCCCCTTATGCCTCCATGAATATAGTAAAAATCTTACTGTATTCAAGCCAGAAGCTGTAACTCTGCATGCTGTTTGCATATAAAAAAACAAACAAAAAAAACAGTCTGCTCCGAAGTCCCTCTGATTCACTGTGAGTGACTGCAACTGGAGGTGTTCCTAGCTTTCAATGTAAACACTGTATTTTATCCGAAAATACAGTGTTTACATGAGAAAGGACGCAGGGAGCTATAGTTTTCACCTGAACAACATCATTAAGATGAAGTTGTTCAGGTGACTATAGTGTCGCTTTAATTCACCCCAATGTACTGTTTGGTGAATAGTTACATGTTTGTTTTTTAATAAATAATTAATATATATTGGTGAATATTAGAATACTAGTTTAACTTGTCAATTAAACAGCATCATTATGACTGTACACTCTAGTCTGTACTTAGAAGAGTCTCAAAAAAAATAAAAATAAATATATATATATATATATATATATATATATATATATATATATAGAAGCACAGTCTCTTTTGTTAATAAACTGTCACATTGTATTTCTCCATGTATGGACTGCATATCTGTTCTTTCACAAGCTGCCACATACCAGCAGACATTCATTTTCATAATAGTCTTCAACTGGTTTGATATGATTACAGTGAAGAAATGATTTTGCTACATGTGTACTGCTAGATTGCAGTCTGCAAAGATCACACAAGATACTGTAGGTCAATTGTACAACCAAATTAAAAACAAATATTATCAGGAAAGAAAATTATCATTTATCACAGACAACTACTTAAGTCTACAATTACTGCAAAATAAATCACCATCACTACTAGGTATAATACACACATCTCCTATATCACGAAAGCAGTTAAGAACAGTTAACAGAGTTCTTTTATCAAGGCTACTGAAGGGCATAAACAGATATTACAAAAACATATGCTATTGCAGGTTTGGTAACAAGAAGTCCATTTTGTAATCCTTCCGTGATTTCTCAATTCCTAATCTACTTTATGGTATAGTTGACTCATTGAAAAGCTTCTGTGATGCTTATCATGCAATAAGGAGAATTGCAAACGACTGTCTGTGATGTGCAACCCACTCATTCATCATCCAATTATTCTCAAATTGAATTAGTAGGTATAGATTTGGGGACATCCCTGAATAATTGAACACACATTCTGAAAGAAAATGACAGAATGTTTCAACTATGAACTTACCTTTCAGGATGATATCTTTACCATCTTGGGAGTTTACAGCATCTGTTGAAAAATATATAATGTTCTGCTTAAGTGGCTGACTATCACTATTTATCCAGCAAACAGCTTATAATAATAGTACACTGATACTCTAGCTCAATCTGTAAAGAAAACATTAATGAAAGGTAAAAGCTAGGCCTGCATTTCAACAATGAATCTGTAATGCTTTAAATGGTAGAGATCTGCCCATAAACACCCTACATTCCAAGGTGAACTAAAACCAAATAACAGCACATAGTTGTCAATTAATATCAAAATATGCTACATGTGTAACTAAATTAGAATGCAAAAAGGGCCATCATTATATGGAATTTTTATTATCTCTCAATGCTTTCTGAAACATATATCATGGGATATTCATAGAATATACTGGCAAGATGTTATCTTGATTTTTTTTTTTTAGCTATCTCTGCTGAGGTTCCTGGAATGGTATATTTAAATACAAGAGATAGGAAAGGATATTACTGATAAGTCTTTGCTGTCAGTAAAACAGCATTACCATATTTTACACAGAAATTGCTTATTTTTGGCAAAAATACTCAAGCATTTAAAGCTTGCAAATGTGTACTTGAAATGTGTAAGAGTAGCAAACAAAAAAAAGAATTTAAACAATGATCATTTTGATTTAGTCAGTTTAAAAATCAAAATGAAAAAATGTTTATACGTGTACAAACAATCTTCAGGGCAATGTCTATGAAAGATAACAGCATCTCTGAAACATGGATCTGGTTTTACAGGTTTGTCTAGAACAACCTTCCCTATACTGTACAAGGACAACTCTCCTGCATCATGTGCTGCTTCATTCTGTATTCCAGCATATAACTTTTAACATGCCAAACATCATATGGCAAGGTAAAAAAAAAAAAAAAAAAGGAATCTTTTCAACTATAAATTGAGAGACATGTAGAATACACAATAAATCAATGAATAAATATACTACTCCTTATTGAATAGGAAAATGTCTGTGAAAAGCTCTAATTTATCAGAAATGATTAAAATATAAACATAATTCAAAATTAACTTAATTTGATGGCATATCAGAGATATACACAGATATACTACTATCATAATTAGACATGTATTATCATACATCATTATACTTGTTTCAATTTTCCCAAAGCCTAACTAGTTTTCTACAAGGTATCTAAAAGGACACATGTGATTTAACCCCTTAAGGACCAAACTTCTGGAATAAAAGGGAATCATGACATGTCACACGTCATGTGTCCTTAAGGGGTTAAAAGGCTGTCCCATCCATGACTCCATTCATCTTGATCATCCATTATTCTTGCCTAGAGATCGATTTGCAGAAGGGATATATATATATTATATATATATATATAGTGCCAAAATAAATCTGATTAGCTGTGGTTCTGAATGATGCGTTCAATAGACTGCAATTACACAGGGGTGCTGGAGATGTTTAAAGATTGTTTTGCAGGCCTCACACACGCAAGCAGAACAAACATCACATATTACAACATGCCTTCATACAGGCATGTGCATTTATTATGCAGAGAGTTAACAAAAATATAGATTTATTTTGCACTATACATATAAGACTGTATTGATTATAGTTTTTGTTGTTTTTATTTTTTTATTTTTTTTTTGGTTTATATGTTTGTTTGTTTTTTTAAAAATTGCAATAAAAAAAAAAATATATATATATATTAGTTTGATGCTGTAAAAATCTAAGAAACATGTATTAATAAAGAATGTGTGTATATATCTATATAATGAAATGTGAGTAGTTGTGGTAGATTGGTGTTATTGATAATGTATTGATAATGGGCTGGTAATTGATTTAGAGACTGATTGCATGGGTCCATTCATTGATGTTGTGGATGTTTATACCCCCCTCCCCTTTACAGGGATATCCCCTTCAACCAATATCCCTTCCCTCATTGACTGACAGCCTGGGTAGCCCCCTGTGTGGCCAGCTGTCCATTCCCCGCGGGTGGCTGGCTGCTGTTACAGCGGGATTCCCTGCTTCATTTACCTCACTCCTCCTCTCCCGGAGCCCCGGTCATGTCTCCTCTCCAGCTCCTTCCTGACAAGCCGCAGAAACCCACCAACGTCACCTGCCATAGGACAGCCAGGCTCCAGCAGCAAGCGCCGCCCTGATTGGTTTCCCAGCTAATCCCACACGTCACCACGGAAGCGAGAAAAGCTGTTTGCGTTCTAAGCCTCGTTTTGGAACCCGCGATGCTGATTGGATGTCTTCTAATGTCTGTCGAACTCAATTACTCCCCGAACGTTTAGCCTCAAGACTTTTTTTTTTTCTTTCTTTTCTTCAATAACTTTATTAAGCCCATTTTGAAACAGGTTTTCTACAAGGTTACCCTGACATCAGTGCCGCTTCCTGTAGCGCTCATTCCGTTTCCGGTAAAGTGGAGGCTCTCCCTTGAAGGATATAGCAGGCTGCAGGTGAGAGGGGGTTCTAGCAGGGAGCCCCCAGTCAATTGGGTTGGTAATGTTATCCCTGACAGCTGATATGGCCAGTATGCTGCTGGCTATTAAAATACTTGGAGAGAAAAAGAATCATTGTGATGGCTGCTGTGCATTATTATGGATTAATCTGGATTTATCTAGAATATTTTTTTTCTCTGCTTCAAGTATAGCTTGGGAAGTTCCAAAAATACACTCTTGTCACAATGCAGACAATTGTGAAAGAAGTGGCAGGCTTGTGGGAACTGAGCAGAAACAGTGGCCAATATCAAGTGTTGACCATTTTAGGTTTTGATTTATTTAAAGGAATACTCCAGACCTCTAAAGCAGTTTTGGTGTATAGATTATGCCTCTGCAGTCTCAGTGCTCATTTCTCTGCCATTTAGGAGTAAACTCACTTTGTTTATGCAGCCATAGCCACACCTCCCTGCATGTGACTTACACAGCCTAACTAGACACTTCCTGAAAAGTGAGATCTAATGTTTACACTTCCTTTATTGCACAGTCTGTTTAATTTTAGAATTCTTTATTTTCTGCTCTCTTAGTAGCTTGCTAGACCTTACAGGAGCCTTGTGTATGTGATTAAAGTTAAATTTACAGAGCAGGAGATAAAATTCTTTATTATATATCGTTTTATTCAGGGGAAACGGGGCTTTCATTTAATATCAAATATTTAGCTGTGAAACATAATTTAATATGAAAAAAATGGGAGAAAGTAAGAATTAATTTTTTTAGTTCTACATGACATTTTAACTGTCAATGTCATAATACTGTTTGCTTTTACTGCAATAAAATACACATATTTGTATTCAGCAAAGTCTCACGTGTAAAACAGTACCCCCTATGTACAGGTTTTATGGCGCTTTGGGAAGTTACAGGGTCAAATATAGCACGTTACATTTGAAATTGAAATTCGCCAGATTGGTTACGTTGCCTTTGAGACTGTATAGTAGCCCGGGAATGAAATTTACACCCATAATGGCATACCATTTGCAATAGTAGACAACCCAAGGTATTGCAAATGGGTATGTCCAGTCTTTTTTAGTAGCCATTTGGTCACAAACACTGGCCAAAGTTAGCGTTAGTATTTGTTTGTGTGTGAAAAATGCAAAAAACGCCAATTTTGGCCAGTGTTTGTGACTAAGTGGCTACTAAAAAAGACTGGACATACCCCGTTTGCAATACCTTGGGTTGTCTTCTTTTGCAAATGGTATGCCTTCATAGGGGTAATTTTCATTCTTGGGCTACCATAGGGTCTCAAAGGCAACCTAACCAATCTGGCTAATTTTAATGTGAAAAAAATGAAACACAAGCCTTATGTTTGACGCTGTAACTTTTGAAAACACCATAAAACCTGTACATGAGGGGTACTGTTGTACTCGGGAGACTTCGCTGAACACAAATATTTGTGTTTCAAAACCGTAAAAAGTTTCGCAGCAATAATAACGTCTGTGTAAGTGCTGTTTTTGCGTGAAAAATGCAAAAAGGTCACTTTTACTGGCGATATCATTGTAGTAATACATTTTACTGTTTTGAAACACTAATATTTGTGTTCAGCGAAGTCTCCCGAGTAGAACAGTACCCCCCATGTACAGGTTTTATGGTGTCTTGGAAAGTTATAGGGTTAAATATAGTGCTAGCAAATTAAATTCCCTTTACTTTCGGCATGGGTTGTCAGGCAGGTCCCACTAATTGTAATTAATTAAGATACCTAATTATGTAAAAATATTACATAAATGTAGAATATATATATATATATATATATATATATATATATTTATTTATTTATTTCGTTCTACGTGTATTTTGAGATATATATATATATATATATATTAATATCACAATACAGTTAGAACGAAATAACATACATCTATATATTTTTTAATTATTTATTTTTAATTATTTTTTAATTTTATTTTTTTAACGTATTTACATATTTTTTATATAATATATAACAATAATTATATATATTTAATCAGTATCAGTCTACGTGTAATTTGATATTAATATATATATATATTAATAGTAAAATACACCTAGACAGTGTGTGTGTGTATATATATATATATATATATATATTATTAATTATTTTTTTTTACACTTATTAACTTTATTTGACTTTATTTCCAGCCTGCAGGGGGACTACCTGTCATTACAGGCAGTCCCCCTGCTGGCAATGCAGCAGCCAGCTAACCTGGCCAGGTGATTGTGAGGTCCGACCTCACTCTCACATGGGCGGGGGGGCTGCAGGAGAGAAGATGTGCCTTGGGCTCCCTGGGAGTCCCCCCAACCGCGATCGCCGGTGTGGGATCGCCGGCGACCGGGTAAGTAAACAAAAACCGGAGGGCGTACTATTACGCCAGGCTAGGTTTAGAGCCGTCTAAAATAGGGCGTAATAGTACGCCCTCTGTTCTGAAGGGGTTAACATCTGATTGAAAATGAAAACTATTTTTATTTTTCATGCAGGCTGTATGTGTCACAACCAAGGGAGGTATGGCTAGGGCTGCATAAACAGAAAGTTATATAACTCCTAAATTGCAGAGAATTGAGCAGTGAGACTTCAGAGGCGAAATCTATACACCAAAACGGTTTCATTAAGTTAAAGTTGTTTTGGTGACTATAGAGGTCACTTTAATGGTTTTTTTGGGTTTTTTTTTTTTTAATATCACAATGGATAGGATAAGGCATATTGATATAAGGCATACATCCTTATGTGAAGATGTTCTAATACAGCAGATATACAGAATAAGAATTCAAGATGTGTCATGATGTTAATCTGTATATAAGCAAATATATTGAGTCAAAATGTTTCCGAAAACCTTAGGAGATAACTGCATGATTACCATAAGTAATGGAAAAAAAGTAATGAAACCATCAGAGAATACATAAACTAATGAAGCCATAATCTCTCCCGCAAAATTTCAATACTAGCCTAAATAATATGTTAGTAGTAAGGAAAGCTCTGCAGTCAACATGTGGGACAGTGAGTTCCACAATTTGTACTTTTTAAAACCTAAACCTTATAACAATGTGCGAATGTCTAGTTAAAAAAAAAAAAAACACAACTAAAAAGTACATCCTTATGTAAAGCAGCTATGGCGTATAGAATGTCACAAAAAAAGGAATAATGCATTAACTAATACCCAATAAAATAAACAGAACAAGTATAGATCTCAGTGGACCAAGTGTTTGATAAGAAACATCACCATTAATCTAATGCTGTGGTGTAGCACTAAGGAATTACTGTCCTTTCACTTTTGAAATAAAGAAAATATATATAAAAAAAAAAAAGGAAATTATGAAATGTTTCTTGTTCCCACTTACTTTCTGGGTTTATCATAGTGTTCAGAAAAGAGGTGCAAAATTACCGTTTGAATGTCCATGCATGTTCCATTAGTTTTAAAGATCACTTTTCAGGTTGTTCCATTTTGGAGATCTGTTCTTTAAACACCAAAATAGGTATAGAAAATACCTATACTTCAATTTTGGAAAATTGTTCTTCAATATGTGTGGTAAAACTCCTTGGAGATGTACTCTATGGACTACCAACCAGATTGAAACAGCAATAATCCCATTGTACAGTGCTACGGAATCTGATGGCGCTTTATAAATAATATAATAATAAGCAGAATGATTGATTCATAGCAATTTTCATTAGATCTCATGACAGTCACAAAATTAATTGTAAAATAGCTGCAGTGTAATGTGCATTCTATTATTATAATAATATTAAATGCTGCCAGAGTTAGAAATAAGGAAGCTGTTTGGCTTGTAGTGGACAGTCAAATTGGCAGTCCTAATTATTATTATTATTATTATTATTATTATTATTATTATTATTATTACTGGTATTTATATAGTGCCAGCATATTCTGTAGCGCCTTACAATATTATCAAAGGGGGAGATTTAACAATAAATAAGACAATTACAAAAACTTACGGGAACAATAGGTTGAAGAGGGCCCTGCTCAAACAAGCTTACAGTCTATAGAAGGTGGGGTGGAAAACCCAACAGGACAGGAGCTAGCAATCAAACAAGGTGGAGTGAAGCAGAGCTGGAGGAGAGAATAGAGTGCTGCCGTTTAGGAGAGAGCAAGAGACAGGTATGTGAGGTAGGGGTTACTCTGGGAGGCCATAAGCTTTCCTAAATAGTTGGGTTTTGAGGCACTTTTTAAATGATTAAAGACTAGGGGAGAGCTTCATGGTCTTGGGAGGCTATTCCAAAGGAAAGGAGCCACTCACGAGAAGTCTTGCAAGCGTGAGTTGGCCGTACGGGTGCGAGCAGCAGACAAGAGAAGGTCAAGGTCAGAGCGGAGAGACTGAGAAGGGGCATACCTGAGGATGAGTGAAGAAATATAGGAGGGGATAGAATTGGTCATTGCTTTATAGGGGTTGATTACTACCTTGAACTCCTATGGGATACAGGAAACCAGTGTAAGGACTGAAAGAGGGGAGAGGTTTGAGAGGAGTGACAGGAGAGGAAAATCTGTCTAGCTGCAGCATTCATTACAGACTGTAGAAGGGCAATATGACTTGTGAGAAGACCTATTAGGAGAGCGTTACAATAATCCATGGGAGAGATTACTAGAGCATGGACAAGCTCCTTAGTAGCATCTTGCGCAAGTAAGGGGCGGATGTGGGCTATGTTTTTAAGGTGGAATCTACAGACTGGATGTGAGGCTGAAATTTGAGGTCAGAATCAAGCATAACCTCAAGACAGGGCGCTTGCAAGGATGGACTGATGTGGGTACCACTCACTTGAAGGGAGGGCGAAAGAGGGGGTTAGGAGGAGGAAAGACAAGGAGTTCAGTCTTTCACCTATACAATTATAAACAAGGGATATCATTTGGGATAACCGCTTTGTGATTCATGGAGCGATCTGACTGCCATTCTTAAAGGATCACTATAGGCACCCAGACCACTTCAGCTTAATGAAGTGGTCTGGGTGCCAGGTCCATCTAGGGTTAACATTGCCTGCTGTAAACATAGCAGTTTCAGAGAAACTGCTATGTTTACATATGGGTTAATCCAGCCTCTAGTGGCTGTCTCATTGACAGCCGCTAGACGCGCTTCTCACTGATTTTCATAGTGAGAAGACGCCAGCGTCCATAAGAAAGCATTGAGAAATGTTTTCCTATGGACTGAATGCGCGCGCGGCTCTTGCCGCGCATGCGCATTCAGCAGATGGCGTTGGAAGGAGGAGGAGTGTCCCCAGCACCGAGGGAGCACGGCGCTGGAGAAAGGTAAGATTTTAACCCCTTCCTACCCATAGAGCCCGGCGGGAGTGGAACCCTGAGGATGGGGGGGACCCATTAACACTATAGTGCCAGGAAAACGAGTTTGTTTTCCTGGCACTATAGTGGACATTTAAGTCGAGAAATCATTTTTTTTTTTTTCTAGTTTGTTGCAAAATAAAATGCAGTTCAAACTGTGGCGGTTTTGTGTGCATTCTTTTAGATCAACCGAAAAACAGATGTGATAAAGGCTGAACTCTTTTCAGCCTATGCAGCTATGAAAGAATGCATGCTTTCTGAATGCTTTTGTGATGAGATGAAGTAGAGGTGCGTGTAGCTAAGTACTGAGCCATTACATGTTGCTTCTTCTTGGACAAGGCTTAACAAACCTTGAGGCAAGTGTTACTGTGATGATTTTCTGTAGAGCTGATTGTACAATTTAGGAAAGGGATTACAAATATTTTATCAACCACTAACAGTTTGTGAATAAATGTTGCAGTGTTATGTTTATCCTCTTTCTTTAATCCATATTGTTGAAAAGTTAAAGATTTTCTTATATTGCTTATTAATATCTGATATATCAACATTTCATAGATATGGGCCACGGACATGAACATCACGGGCATGGAAAGCTTCACATGCCTGATTACCGGCAATGGAAAATAGAGGGCACTCCACTAGAGCAAGTACAAGAGAGACTGGCTAGGCGAGGTTTGAGAGATCCGTGGTTAAGGTATGCTCTTAAGACACAGGGCTTTAACCCCTTCCCTCCTTTCAGTTTACTTTTATAAATTTACTACAAGAAAGTTGCTTGGAATCTAGGAGCCAGCTAAAAAAGTTAGGAGCCAGTTTGTTGTTTTTTGTTTTGTTTTGTTTTTAACAAAGCTTAATTTTCAACAACAAAATTAAAATTCTTAAACACCTACTACAGTCACCAGAACCACTATAGCTTAATGTAGTGGTTCTGGTGTCTATATCCTGTCCCTGCAAGCTTTTCAATTTGAACACTGTTTTTTTTTGTTTTTTTGTTTTTTGGAGAATAGGTATTGAGGCGCTGAATGTTCCCTATAGAGCTTCATTGATTCACTGCATCTCTATGAGAAGATACTGATTAGCACATGCACAATAGCCTCCCAATGCTTACTATGGGAATGCATTGGCATGGCTGAGATATCAAGATTAATTTTGACTGGCAGGCGCGCGCTGGCTGACTGACTGGCAGGCGCGCGCTGACTTAGTTGGAATTTCATTGAATATGAGTATTTCATAAAGATTCTATCTTAATAAAATATACATTTTTAAGGGGGGTGACAGTGCTGCTTTAATTTAATATTTGTTAGAGTGTGGATTAAATGGACATTTTTTTACATCATAACCACTTCATCTCATTGATGTTCTAATTACTGGAGTTCCCTTGCACCATAGCTTTGTTCAGTGTTAAATGGTTTTTGAACGGCTTAACACTGAATTAGAATCCACAACAACATGGAGCCCAACTCTTACGTGAAGTATGACTAAGGAGGAAATTACACTCTGTCTTAGCAATACCAATTCATACCAGCAGTGGGCAGTCAGATAGTGATCAGCTGATATTCTTAGACTATACTATGCTTTCAGCCTATCACTGGTTCCCATTATTGTTCAGGCTAATGCAGAAGCATTAGCCCAAACAGCACAGATGGGCCGGATCGTGGGAGCTGGAGGACTAAAGGCACTATTACTACTTTGCTGAAATGTAATGTAAGCTTTGGATATTTCGAGATATGTTTCGTGATCAGGGACATTTTGTGATGGCAAGTTACTGTAGTTGTGTTACATGGAGGAACATGGGTTACAGAGAAAAAGAAGGCAAAACAGTTGTGAATTGTCATGATTTCCCCTCCTCCCCCCCAGAAATGTAGATTCAATGGGCTTTCCTATAAGATGGTGCCTAGGGCTGAGTAAATTTTGTGGTTTTTAAACAAGTTATTTGTATTCCTTCTGTCTATGTCTCAATTATCAAATTATAATGTAAACAAACACGAGGAAGTATCTGGGTAGGGAAAAAACAGACTTACAGTATTGTCTGCAATTATTTAAATTGGTAGGAAGTGTTGTTTCTTGATGTACGGTATTTCCCTAAACATTTATTTTCTGTTTATTTCACAGGAATGAAGCCTGGAGGTACATGGGAGGATACGCTAAACCGGCAACCTTTAAAGATGTTCTTGCTAGAGGCTTTAAGTGGGGCTTTGCAGCCTTTGTGGTAGCTCTTGGTGTGGAGTATGTCCTATTTCCACCAAAGAAGTCAGGAGGCCACCATTAGAAACTAAAGAGAACACACAATCTTTGCTGTACTTAATAGAACTACATTAAACTTATTAAGGTGTCATTATTGTATGTAAATTTGCGCATGTGTCATGATTTTACAGGATACTATAAATATAAGGGTTTTGCAATGATGCACTGGTGACAGTGAAATTTAAAGCATGGAAACATATCTTTATAATTCTTCACTCACAACCCAGTTGGTAATACACAGCTGTGTTATTAAACCAGAACAATCGAAAAACTACCATATATAATTTGTCATTTATATGCTAGGTTTGCATATGGGGTGAAGAAGTGCTGGGAAAAGCTTATGCTGTTTTTTTAAATTTTTAAGGGGACTGTCACATCTCTAGAATTTACACCATTGAAAATCCGCTATAACTTGTGCCAGCATTTGATAAATATTCATAGAATCTAACAGCCACATATTTTTTCTTTTACTTTTGTGGCATGTCACACAAAATATACATTTAGAAAATGTGTGTTTGTGGTCAAGTGTGTGGCCTGTATGTAGTCGAGGCATGTGTGTATAGGAATGAAAATGAACGCATGTTTCTGAAAGCTTGTGTGTGTGTTGGGGAAGGCTCTGATGAGGTATGTGTATATGGTGGGTCAGTAATTTATTAGTTTATTAAAGGCATACTATAGGGTCATGAACACAAACATGTATTCCTGAGTCTACAGTGTTAAAACCCCCATCTATCCAGCAAAACCTTACTTGTATTCAAGTCTGCAGCTGCTGCCTTTGATCTGCCTGCTTGGCTGACATCATGAGTAGTAATTCTCTGGGCCAATCACAATTCTTTCCCATAGGATTGGCTGAGCCTGTCAATGGGGCAGATCAGAGGCAGAGCCAGCACAAGCCAAATACAGCCCTGGCCAATTGGCATCTCCTCATACAGATGCATTGAATCAATCTGGTTTTCTGCATTTAATTTTCATTGCACACCTCACAAACACTTTTGTTTAAATATAGGGATAAGTAAACATAATATTAAAGATCAAGTGACTGTTTGTTTAATAAAGTGAACTTCTATGCACTACAAATGATACACTGCAGATTTTTTTTGAGTGGTTATGGTGCAAGGACTCTTTATTTCCTCTTGATTTGTGTTAGAAAGTTTGAGAAATTTTCCAAAAATCTGGGGGAATTCCATTTCTATGGTGATGAAATAATTAGAAGTGTGGGTGGAGCTCATTATTAAACTATTGTGTAATAATATGCAAGAAGTAAACATAACTGCCCTACACTTAAGTGGTTGTATTGTGAAAACAATCTGTAAGAAATCAAATTATTTCTTGCACTGCTTCTACTGTCTGAAAGGCATAACAACTGATAAAGCGTAGTATAAGCTGCACGTAGCAAAGAAAGTCAAATACAACTAAGTGCCACTTGCTTAGTCAAATGCACATTCCAATTCAACATTTTTATTACAATAACATTATCAAAAATAACATGATTAATGAAGATGTACTTGACATACTTTGAAAACACCCAGTAGATTCCTCAGCTAGGTAGACTTTATTTCCGAACAGTGCATAACAACGTTTCAGCCCTCGAGTGAGCCTTTGTGAAAGAGACTAAAAATATTGCATGCAGTCAGGTACTTCCATGTATCAAATATTAAAAATATATATAGATCTCCTAGAGAGAGAAAAATGCATTGAACAGGTTGGCCGACTACAATGTATAGAAATAATAAGCTGAGTTGACTTTAGAAGACAAGTCTGTATTTGTGAAGTGAAAACTGCATTTACTGAACTCTACAATATCCCTCAATATTTATCTGGAACCAGAGCTGTCACAACTAATACAAAATGAAACTGTTTATTTTTTTACTATTTTTTTTTTTTTTATTTTTTTTTTTATATGTGTGCATCCAAAATATCCAATTTAGACATTTTACCACATCCGAGCATTGGTTCTGCTGAACTTTAACACACAATCATACCCAGCAAAGCCCAGCTATTAAGGGATGAGATAGACATCAGAAGAGTTAGATTCGACAGATTTCCCCTGTAAACCTGTAGGAGAGGCATAAAATAGAGAAGAATTAGCTTTATATTTTATTTAACATGTTCTTTGGAAGGTGCAATGTATTCCCATTTTTTTTTGTCCCTATGCTTATTATTAATGAAATAGTCTTTAATGTAAAGCCAACTCCCTGATTTTGCCTCCATCCCTGTCACAGGTGCCTCATTCCAGGGCCTTATTTAACCTTGCCCTGCAGAGAGTCTGTGGAGGAAGCATTTCACCAGTAAGTGGCTTTATCTCATAAGAGCAGGCATTAGGCTGCTAGAAAGGACATGCCAATAATGGGATACATCAGCGGTTCCTAAACTGTGTGCCGGGGCGACACAAGATATTTTCCCAGGAATTGTGCCTCCCTCTCCCCTGCCAGCTCTGCAGGACCGGAGAGGAGATCAGAGATCTCCCTCTCTGGCACGCTAGCAGTGTAACCTGCAGCTCCGCCGGGTTCTCCTCTCGCAAGCTCTGAGCATTGCTGCAGTTACCACGGCAATGCTCTGAATCTCATGAGAGTGAACTCTAGCAGCTCCTGAGGCTGTTAGAGTTCACTCTCACCACTGGGACCACCAGGGATTAGTATTGTCCCCCATCCCAGCCAAAGATAAGCAGGGAGGGGGGAAATTAAAATAATTTTTTTTTGTGGATATTTATTAATTTCTCCCCTATACACACACAGTCCCTCCACACACACACGCTGCCCCCATACACACACACACACTACATCCTTCACAAACACCATGCACCCCTCACACACATTTAAAGGAACACTATAGTCACCTAAATTACTTTAGCTAAATAAAGCAGTTTTAGTGTATAGATCATTTCCCTGCAATTTCACTGCTCAATTCACTGTCATTTAGGAGTTAAATCACTTTGTTTCTGTTTATGCAGCCCTAGCCACACCTCCCCTGACTATGATTGACAGAGCCTGCATGAAAAAAAAACTGGTTTCACTTTCAAACAGATGTAATTTACCTTAAATAATTGTATCCCAATCTCTAAATTGAACTTTAATCACATACAGGAGGCTCTTGCAGGGTCTAGCAAGCTATTAACATAGCAGGGGATAAGAAAATCTTAATTAAACAGAACTTGCAATAAAGAAAGCCTAAATAGGGCTCTCTTTACAGGAAGTGTTTATGGAAGGCTGTGCAAGTCACATGCAGGGAGGTGTGACTAGGGTTCATAAACAAAGGGATTTAACTCCTAAATGGCAGAGGATTGAGCAGTGAGGCTGCAGGGGCATGTTGTATACACCAAAATTGCTTCATTAAGCTAAAGTTGTTCAGGTGACTATAGTGTCCCTTTAACCCCACACACACTGCACCCCTCACAAACACACACACCATACATTGCACCCTTTACACACACACACTACTGCATCTATCACCTACTACAGCCCCCTATCCTGGAAGACCCCAGTTAAGTTCTCAAACTGTTCTTAAACTGTTTGACTACTTACCCTGGGAGGGCAGCATGGCACTCCTAGTACCATAATCACTACATAGTTATTGTGCCTGGATTGTTTTTTTTACTTGGGGCGCCTTGGAAAAAATATTGAAATATTAAGGGCGCCTTGAACCTAAAAAGTTTGGGAACCAGTGGGGTACATTGACATTGTGGCAGGTTTATGCAATGTATGATCATATACTTTAACTTAATCCCCTTTAGTTTTTGCCTAGGTGAGGTGTTTTTAAAGAAAACTATTACAGTCTGCATGCCTTGAAATTGCTGTTTAGTGAATTAACGAGTGCACTAATTTTGTATGTTAGTACCAAATAACAATGATAAACAACTTTCTAAGTTTACATAGGATGCTGTAAGAGAGACCATGCATAATCTACATTAGTTGTTTATAATATCATAACATAGATTAATTCTATTGCAAGAAAAAGGGAAATGTTGCAGATGGGGAAGGATGAACAGACAGAGCTGTTTGGAGAGAGGATACTTCATTTTAAAAGAAAAAAAAAACATACATTTAAGAATTAACTTTGACCCAGAAAACATTCACTCATAGATTGCTACGGATTGCTACATATTGGTGCTTAGAAAGTCAATTTTCCAGCTGGATTGACGTTCCATATGTTAACTGGTTTAACAATCAAATAGTATTTTTTAGGGCCTCAACGATTTTCATCAGCTGAAATTATTTCCCTAGAATTCTTGAATGTATTTTTGTAATTGTTACAGAACTACCAGTCTTTCAAGATGTATGTACTAATGTGTGTGATTACTACCACTGACCAAACAGAATATTTGGATTTAAGGTGGCAAAAAAAAAGTGCAGTGTCCTACTAAATCCAGAATACACAATTTCAACATTGGTTATCCACAAGCACAAATGTCTACCACTCTTGAAGAATGTCATTTTTTTTTTTTTGAAAACTTTATTTTTGAAAGAATAACAAAGCAAAGACAAAGACATATGACATAGTCAAAGCATAAAATAGACATTGCCAGTGTTGCGTTATGGAAGGCACGATACTCAGTATGTAAGCCCAGTGCAACGCCTTGTAACAGGTAAGTTAGTCGGCAGACCAGTTTGTCATGATGCCTTCATCTCCTCACCTATAATATTATTATGTTGTCACAACGTAATTTTCAACTTTGAACTTTGGGGCTGTTCCACAGTCCCAGTAACTAGTGGAAGGAGTAAGTAGAAAAGTAGGAAAGAATGAGAATAGAGGAAAGGTAGAAGAGTGGGGTCATCAGGGCATAAGCTGCTATTACCAGTTAGCCTCGATGTACTATCTCTGTCCCAAAGGGGTCCTTCCAGAATCTGTTAATTAGGAGTGTGTAGTGCTGGAGAGGGATGTATACTATTTTCGATAAGTGCATAATGGACCACGCCTATCCTGCGTTACGTGTGGCGCAATGCCAAATATTTAAACCAAGTTTTAGTGCCTCTTAGAAAAAGAAGTGGCCGGCAGGCCAGCTTGGCAGTATGCCGTCGTTGTCTCGTGTTACAACATTATGATGTGTCAACTAAATGATTTGCAGCGTGGAGCGTTGGGGTCGCTCCATTTTCCCATAACCAGTAGAACTAAAGGAGAGAGAGACTATAAGAGACAGAGATAGAGGGAAGGCAGTAGGTTAGGGTCACCAGAGCGCAGGGCGTCGGGGCCAGTCCACCCAGGGTTTTCGTCTCAGTCCCAGAGGAACTCCTCTAGGATTGGTCCAGTATGGGTGCATAGTGCTCGCCCTGTTCTATTATTGAGCGGTTTCTCCAGTCAAGTCGCTAGTGGTCCATGGCTCCCATGTTTTCTCGAACTGTGGAACAGTTCCTCGGACTTTAGCCGTTAGGCTATCCATAAGGTGTATGTCTTTTATATTATGTATAACTGCACTCGGGGGAGGTGTTTCTACCTTCAACCATGCTTGCGCCAGAGCTCTCCATGCTGCCAGCGTCACCTTATGTAGGAATTTTTGCTCTCTACGTGTCCAATTATCTAAGGGTCTATTGAGGAGAAATGCCCATGGGTTCAGGTCTGGTGCTCTGTGGAAAATGCGTTTTATGAGAGTCTGGGTCTCCCTCCAGAAGCCTTGGAGCCGGGGACATTCCCACCACATGTGGAGGTATGTACCTTTCAGGCCACACCCCCTCCAGCAGTCGTTCGACGGGGTTTTCCCCATTCGGTGCAGTGTTACTGGTGTGACATACCACCTGAGGAGCGTTTTAATTGCCTGTTCCTGGAGGGAGACACACATGGACACTGAGGCGTTGGCCTCCCAAATTTCCCTCCAGTCTGTGCCCTCGAGTTCCTCTCCTAAGTCCCTTTCCCATGCTTCAATGTACGTGAGCGTGCCCCATTCTTTTGTTTCAGAGCTAAGATGTGCATATAGTTTTGATATCAAACCTGATTGTGTCGTTTCGCGGAGGCACATGTTTTCAAAGAAGGACATGTGCCCTCTGGCTGCGTTTTGTAAGTATGGATCTTTCATGTAGTCCCTAAGTTGTAAGAATCTAAAGAAGTCCGTGGGGGTGAGGTGAGTAGTCTGTTGTAGGTCGTTAAATGTGACTGGCGTATTGTCCCTATACATGTGACAGATCCTCTGTAGGCCTGCAGTTTCTAGGTTGGCAAAATCTCTGGCCACCATACCCGGAGGGAAGGCTCTATTTCTGAGCA